GGTAGGAGGGTTTGGTGGAGGAGAAAAGAGAAAATGGGAGGGAGGGTTCGAATTGAGAGGGGTTTCAATTTACTTTTTGTTGTTTTTTGCCCGGTTTAACCACACACTCCAATTAACGGCCTAAGGCTCATTAACGTTGACCCATTTTTGCCCAAACGACGTGATCATCTCTCATTGACGGGTTCACACATTCCATGAACCCACGGGTTCATGCAAACCTAATGATTGAGCAAAAAGAAAGTATCAACAACTAGAAATTACATTTCATTAGGATTGATTTGCGGACATACAAATTGTTCGTGATCATTCAAGAAAGGGAAATTGTTGGTTGAGTTGATTGAGGTCACAAATGAATCAAAACAGACTTGGGAAATGATGAAGCAATGGATCACATAAATAGAGGAACCAAGTTTAGTGCAGAAACCTACTAGATAGTATAGGAACGGGGATGGGAAATCAGGGACGGAGATGGGGGATGTTTAGGAAATCGGGGTCGGGGATGGGAATATAATCCCTGCCCCGAACCCGGAATATCCGGCCCGGGTTGTAAATTATCACCTTTAGGTCCATCTCGCGGATTCTTATAGTCGGAATCGGATATGGTCTTTTCAGAATTCGATCCGATCTCTTCGCAGCCCTAGTTCTGATCGCTCGACAACCACGCTTGCTGTTCGAGGACTCGGACCCTGCACAGTCCCCATATAAGTCTTCATTTAGAACTGAACTTAAAATCAGGGAAACTCCGTTTCATGTTCTTTTCCCAGGTTCGGCCTCTCTTGTCATCTTGTGGGCGAGCTGCTACAGCTTTTTCTTCGTGTTCTGCTTCTTCTCTGCTGACCCAAGCCCTCCTCGTCCGTCTAATCTCTTCTAGCGCCACACTAGCAATGGGAGAGACACCGAAGCCCGAGTCCAAGCCAAGTCATCCAAAAGATGAAGCTTATCTTCATTCTGTCATTCAGAAGCGCATTCGCCTCTTCGAAGCCATCAAAGCACAGCAAATCGAAGAGCGGCAGCGCATCGGCGGAGAACCCATAAAGTAGGAAAAGATAAAAAAAACGCTAGCTTTCTGATTAGTTTTTAGTCATCGACTAACTATGCCTTAATTTAATCTTCTGGGTAGCATTTAAACACTATTTTTATTCTTCAACTTTAGAAATGAATTAAGAACGTGGTTACAGACTTTAGCTGTCCATTCTCGTGAACCCAATATTCGTCTATTTTTCCCGTTAAAGTTTCTGAGCTACTCACTCAAATTCCTCGCTCTGTTTGATTTATTTTCTTGTAATATTTAATAGTTATCACAGAAAATCAAGCATTATTACTTATTTAGGATGTTTCATGCGAGTCACTGTTTTGAATTCAGCCGTTTTACCTGATTCAAATAGAGGTTTCTCATTTCTCTGTATCTATGAAGATTGAAAGCAGTGCAAAGGGACCCAAAAAAGAAAATGTTGCTTATTTGAAAGATCAATTTTTTTAGCTGTTACGTCTATGCACAATTACGTGGTTTTGGCATTAAGTTGATAGATCACTTTGTTTAGAAAATATGGGTTTGTTTTACATTATTTTTTATATAAATTTGGAGAACGTTATAGTGACAATCCTTGTATTGTTATCTAGTGGCAACATTAATTTTATTCTTTTTATTTATATAATCGAACTTTCCATCCTCCATATCCTCCTTGTTGCAGTCATATGTAGCTTTGTCAATTCTGTTATTCTACTTACCATTTTTCTTGTTCTTTTTCTTTTTTCTGGGATATTCAGGATAACATTGCCAGATGGCACTGTCAAGGAAGGCAAGAAGTGGATATCCTCACCTATGGATATCGCAAAGGGCATCTCAAAAAGTTTGGCTGCAAACGCTTTAATATCCCAGGTGCGTATTACATTTTCTTTTAAATTGGAAAGTTTCCCTTTTGAAGATTTCCTTTGTTGATAGGATCCAAGTCAAGATGCATCTGGCTTTTGGTTATGGCAGGTCGTCCTTTTTATGCTGTAGTTCAATCAAGTACAAAATTCTACCGTTTCCCTCTTTTCTTACATGTGTACCTGGCTCTTGCAARGAAGTTTCGGCTTTATTATGTGATTCTTGTGGTTACCAGAATTTTTTTTCTCTCTCTTACTTGTTGCAATCTGTTTCTTGAGATATGTCTTCTTTTTATACAAACCTTCTAGTATGGATACCAGAATTTTTCCTCTTCATCCTCCTCCTAACCCCCCTCCTCTTAAGGAGGCTTACGCCTCCTTGTGTTTGGGAGGCTTACGCYTCTTGCGTTCTGAACTATGCCTCGCGCCTCTAGGTAGTGGAACGCCTTGCGTCACGCCTCCACGTTTTAAAACATTGCTCTTAATTGAATAAAATTCTCATTTTTCTGATAAAAAAAAGATACAGCAATATAAATGATATCATAAAAGGCACCCAACTTGCCATTTTTGTCACCCAGGCGAGCACCTAGTTKYTAAATGTCAAGGCATTTGGGCAGGGCTCCCAGCTAAGGGTGCCTAGTCGCCTAGGCAACGCCTTGATAACTATGCTAACTTGATATGTWAAGTTCAAGTGTGGTTGGTTACTTTATTATAAACTTTTTTGCAATGTTATATGAGCCAGCTACTGACCAAAAAACATGTTATGAGCCAAACCAATTGTATCACTAACTAGTTGGTCAATACTCGTGATGCAGTCACCTAAGAGGATTGAGTACTAATTAGGCTGACCTGTTAATTAATGAGCCAACCTAGTCAATCACAAAGTCATTTAAATTTTTTTTGGTTGTTGTATCTCTAATTATTTGAAATAATATAGAATATTATTTATTCTGTCGCTTTAAATATTTGTAATGGGACATGAGCCAACCTTATACAGTTCAAAGTTTAGATCCTTTTTTGATTTTGTAAATGCTGATGGGATAGTGGCTTTGTTTTTGTATGGCTTTCCCTGTTACAGCCTCTAGTTGTACAGGGCTTTTAATGAAATTCATACTTTACCTCTTCTCGAAAAAAATGATTGTAAGATGGTCTATAAAATAGTAAAAACACATAAAATAAAAGAAGGCAGTAGAGGATTTCTTTTAAGTTCTCATTTTCGAATCATTGGTATGTTGGTATGAGTTGTCACAAACAAAGGTCATATCGAATTGTCAAGGTTGCACTCTATTTTTGGAGAACAAGATCTGTGATTCTCTGTCCTACTCTATCCTGCTTATCTTTTTCTTTGTTTGCAAAACAATGACTGTAAACTAAATGTTCAATGTCATTATTTTCTTGCATAATTGTAGTCTATATTAACTTATTTATGGGATTTTTTCAGTATCTTAAATTTAGAACATCTTTTTTCATTTACTAGTCAGCGCCTAGGCACCAACTGGTCATTGCATCGACTAGAGAGGCCAAAACAACTAGTCATTGTTGCCTCACCACATTGATAACACCAATATTTTGTTCAATAATTGAGCCACCAATAATAAATTATCTGTTGAGTCAGTACAGAAATCACCAGTGTATTGATGTGACCAGTGACCTATGCTTATATTGTATTTCTATTTCTAGCTTATGCAATCTAAAGGATTTTATTAATTTGTTAAATATAGAGTAGTGCTATTCCTGCTGGTATCCATTTTGATTTTCGTGTGGTACAGGTGAATGGAGTTCTTTGGGACATGTTTAGGCCTCTAGAGGGAGACTGTGAACTGAAGTTGTTTACATTTGAGGCAGATGAAGGACGTGACACTTTTTGGCATTCTAGTGCTCACATCCTTGGACAGGTGAGCTTGCTTAGAAATTGCTTTTTGTACATTTGCTTGGGTATGGGTACATCTATTAGACCAATTCATATGACCACAAAGTCTTGGGAAATACTGACTTGGCTATGATCAGGTCCACGTTGTATGTTGAACCCTAAAGATACAAGTTTGACGATGATACTGAAAAAGTTGTTATCTGAAAAGCTGATAACCAGTCAACCAGTATCATAGAAGTGGTAACCAATGAACTGGTTTTCATCAAAATTCATTTGGGGGGTTTCTGATTGGTTAAAGTTCTTCTGATATCATACTCTGGCATCATAGAAGTTGCCTTAACATTTAATTTCTGAGCAAGAAGTAGTCAAGCAAGGAAACAAGATATATTCAATAGTCTAGATTCATTTTGTTATTAATATCTAATAGGTGGAAAGCTGATAAAAAATATCCATTTGATGGAAAACCAACAACCACAGTATGCTATAATGAACTTGCCACTTAAATAATATTATCAAATATATTAATTTACTACAAATGGTAGGTGAATGTTGGAGCATATAGTTGTATTAATGTTGGTGATTGCATACATTTAAGTTCATTAGAAATTGTGCAAGTTGAGTCAAGGTATCTATGCATGTAAATATCTGATGATCTAATCATTTATCAAGATGAGTAGGAACCACCATAGTTCTTGTGCAGATAAATGGTAGGACATTTTTCTTGTGACTTGTCCAAACTTTTTGAAATACAACAGAAATATGAAACATTAGTACCAACTACCATGCACTCTTGGACAGCTATAAGAAAGGACTCAGGGAAGTAGCCCTTCTCCTTTTTGTTTTGTTTTTTATTTGCACCTATTTTAACTGCTGTCCTACTGAATTTTTTAGGAGTTCCTTCCCTTCCAATAAAATAGCTTCTTACTGTGCATGGGATACTTATATATGTTGCTTTTACATCTGGATTAGTACAATTAAACTTTATCTTTTAGAAAAGAAAAGAATTATTAATTTTATATTCCCCTTCTTCTCTAAAAGACAACATCTAATATTCAAGCCTGTCATTTCCTTTAGCAAAGCTTATTTTCCATCTTCCTCACACCATGGGTTATTACTCATTAGATTACAAGGTTTTCAAATCAGAGGTTGAATCTCTAATTTGTTAAGCATTCCATAAGTATGGTATCTCCTTTTCTGAGATTTATAGATGTTATGGTAGTTGGATAGGGATTTTTTTTGTGGATACTGCACCATATTATGGCTTTGAGTTTTCTCCTTTTGCTATTTGACAACTTGAATAAATTCTTTTATTTCCTTCTATTACTTACGCTTTTTTAACTTCAAGATTTCCTGGCTTAAGTGGATTCTTGTTCTTTTCATGACAGTCCCTTGAGATGGAATATGGTTGCAAGCTGTGTATTGGACCCTGTACCACTAGAGGGGAGGTAATAACATAATTGTGGTTGAAATTGGGATGAAAACTTTTTTTAGGGGTAGGGGTGGGTGTTTTTCCCTTTTGGAACTGAGCTCTTTTTTTTTTCTGTTTAAGGCATTCATTTTCTTTTGCTCTCAATATTTAATTGTAACAAGTTATTTGTATTCTTAATGATTAATATTTCATATAATGAATCTATTGCAGCATGTTCTTCTGCTCATAATAATTTTATTTGTTTTTAGATTTTGGGCTGTTCCTCTGGACTGTTGTATTGCTTTGGTTAAGTTGTGGTCAAGTTTTTTCTTATAATAATTGATTTTCTTTTATTTGATCATGGTTTTTCTTGTTGCATGGCATGCTTTGTAATTAATTCATTTATCATCTAACAAAAGTTATTGGTTACTGATTGAAAACCAAACAGTATTGGTTTGAGCCCCTTGGATATGTTTGCTGTTATAGGGAGGAAAACACTTAGAACTTCAGCTCCGCAGATTTTCAGATGTAAGGTAGCAAAGCTTCAAGCCTGTTCAGAAGGGGAATCGGCTTCAAAGTTGGGGATGGGAGAAGGATCAGGTTCTGGTTGGATCCCTGGACTGGGGAGAGAACTCTTAAAGAACTGTTTCCCACCCTGTTCAGTCTGGCTGTAGATAAAGAGGCAATGGTAGCTGATACCTTTGTGTTGAGGGACAATGCTATGTTCTGGGTTCCAGCCTTAGAAGGGATTTCAATGACTGGGAGATTGAGCAGGCTGGCAATCTCCTAGATTTGCTTCAGTCTTAGGTGTTGGATCTGCAATCAGAGGATTCCTTAATATGGAGATGGAACAGAAGCGGAGAGTTTTCAGTTAAATCCTTCTACAACCCGATAGTGGGAGGGTCTGAAGCTCTCTTTCCTAGCAGGGCTATTTGGGGGGCTGTGGCACCCTCCAAAATCAAGTTCTTTGTTTGGTTGGCAAGATTAGAGAAGTGTCTCTCTAAAGAGATGTTGGTGAAGAAAGGTTTTAATTGTAATGATCTGAGGTGTAGTCTCTGCGGTGTGTTTACAGAATCAATAAACTGTATGTTTTTACACTGCAAGTTTGTTAGAAAAATCTGGAACCACTTCTTAAGAAGTTTAAGGTTAAGTTGGTGTATGCTGGCCTCAGTAAAAGCATGCCTGGAGGGGTGGCAGATCCAAGGGATGACAAAAAAAGGGAAAGAGGTGCTGGTCTGTTATTCCCCTAGCAATTTTGTGGGTGGTATGGATAGAAAGGAATGGCAGCAGGGGTTTTGAGCTCAAATCCTCTTTGGAAGAAGAAATCATCAATTTGGCTTTAGGCTTTGTTAGAATTGGTTGTCTATTCTTCCTGACTTTAAGAGGTTACTTCTGACTGTAATTTTTTGAGGACGACCTTTTTTTGAGGTCCTTCTGGCTTTTTGTACAGCTTCACATTGTACAAACTAAAAAGGACCTTTTCTTTTTTTTTTTTTTTGATAATTGAAATAATTTTGTTAATCAGCAATAGACAATGGTACAAAGTCCCCAAGGAAAGGCATGAGCTGCAATCTCTCCGGGCTAGTTAAGTACAGATTTCCAGATTAATAACAACTTACAAAGAAGCACAAAAAAGATCTTCCCTATAAACCCCCTGTTTGGCTAAAGCATCGGCCATAGAATTAGCAAACCTACTAACCCATTTTACCTCAACTCTCATATTGCTGGTTAACCACTTTACTTTTTTGATGAGATCTTTGTAGCCCCAAATGGTGGCATCCGGGTTTAGAAGCTACCTTGTTACCACTTGAGAGTCCCTTTCAACTAGGAGATGCTCCACCCCAAGCTGGTTAGCGGTCTGAATTCCTTGTACTGCAGCAAGGATTTCTGCCCTCGTGGAATCCCCCACTCCCACCGGTCCTGAGAATAAGGAAATTATGTTGCTGTCCTTATTTCTCAGGATACCCTCTATACCTGAAGGCCCGAGGTTGCCTTGGCTGCTTCCATCAAAGTTCAGCTTGATGATACCTTCCAAAGGCGGAACCCATTCTGACAGAATTCTATCCTTCTTTGTTGAAGTGTTAGCTATTACTAGCCAATTCCTCCACAAGTCATCAAAGGAGAAGTCATAAAAAATATCCACGGTTTTCAGCCAATGGATTGCTCTTGTTAGGATATAGTCCTTCACATCATCTAATCCTCTTTGCTTCTCTAAGAAAATTCTTGCATTCCTTTCCTCCCAAAGAGTCCACAAAGTGGCTGCCTTGATACATTTCCACATGACCTTACCTCTTCTAGTGTGCAAAAAAAAAACAGATGGGTTGAATAATGAGTTTAAATTAGAAGGCACAGACCACCTACCTCCAAATAAACAAAGGCTCCAACTCCATATAGCTGTAGCGAAGGAACAAGAGATCAACAAATGGAAACAGTCCTCATTCTCAGCCTTACACAAGGAACACCAATTTGGGGAAAGACAAAGATAGGGTATCTTTTTTTGTAAGTTTTCCAAAGTATTGATTTTCCCATAGAAGACTTCCCAGCAGAATACAACAATTTTTGGGGGAATAGGTCGCGCCCAGACTTCTTTGACAGGGAATCCTTGGGAAATGGGGTTAGAACTGAGGGATTTTAGAAAAGAAGAGCAAGTAAATGTACCTTTTAGATGAGGAGTCCAAACCCTTTGATTAGAAGAAGTGGGGTCCAAACAAACATATTCTAGTAAATGAATTAGCTCAATAACACTACTCGACTCACCATCCCTTAACCCTCTACGAAAACCAAAGTCCCAGTTTAAAGATAAGGGGTTTAACGGGTTGGGGAGGAAAGTTGCAATTGGCTCATGTTTGTGAAGGGAAAGGGAATAGAGCAAGGGGAAACGATCTTTGAGGGGTTGAGTACCCACCCAAATATCCTCCCAGAACATAATAGCATTACCAGAACAAGCATCATACCTGATGAATATGAGGAAGCGAGGGAGAATACCATGTATAGCCTTCCAAGGTGTAGTAAGGGTAGCTCGACGAGATATCCCGGAATCCCAACCATTTCCTGAGCAACCATGAATGCTTGCCACTACCTCATGCCATAATCTCTCTCTCTCTCTCTCTCTCTCTCTCTCTCTCTCTTGGGGCCATCTCCATAACCACTTCCCTAAAAGGGCTACATTCTTCAGCACTACGTTCCCTATCCCTAAACCCCCTTCTTCCTTTGGTTTGTTAACTATCTCCCATCTGATCAAGTGATCATTTTTCACCTCTCTTGGTTCCCATAGAAAGTTCCTCATTCTCTTCTCCAGTTTCTTAGCCTTCCTTGGAGGAATCCTGAACATTGAAAGGAAGTAGGTTGGTGATGTGAACGCTTTTATTGGGAAGAAATATCGCCGCTGGCAGCAATAGTAAAGGGTGCAAGATTTGCTGATTCTCATCTTATCTAATTCTAGCTAGATACAGTTCTATCTTATCTGTTCAGTATTCTTATCTTATCTGTTTTCAGTAGTATGGATTAGTAGGGAGTCTTGTCTGTTCAGTAGTATAGATTAGTAGGGAGTCTTCCTAATTAGTAAGGAGTCTTCCTAAAAGTACTACTCTTATCTTCTTGTAATCTCCTATTTAAGGAACTGATGATATTCAATAAAGGCATCGAAATTTTCAATCAAGAAAGAGCAGAGGAGAGTTGGTGATCTCTTKAACAAATCACCATTAAGGCGCCAAGATAGGTTCCTCCATAAAAGGGAGGGAGGAACAAGGGAAAACAGGAGGTTTTCCCCGTGGACCGACCTGTGACGAGATCCTATTTGCGGGCCCTTAGCAATCTGGTATCAGAGCAAGGCGTCATGGGTGATCTGGAGCAGTTGACGTCCAGGGTGCATGAACTAGAGCACAAGCTCGTGGAGAACAACACGGAGGTGTGTGAGATCAAGAACGACGTCCGAGAGTTACGACGCTTGATGGAGTTATATTTCTCTAACAAGGAAAGGAATCCAAAAGGGGCTGCAACCACAAACGGCCGCCGACCAGACATGGTGGAATCGTCTGGCGAGCAGCAGGTCATTGCCCAG